CTTGCCTGATAAGCTTCATGGTTTACTACGATCCTCCTGATTATGGTGGAAGTTGTGATATCAAGAGGGCTCTCTAGAATTTGGAATATGCCCATGCTTATTGGTACAGAGTACGGGTTATCTTCCTCCTGCCAAATCATCAACCAACACATTATATGAGGATACACCGCTATTTGGTCTTTTACCTACATTTACTCACATCCGAAACTCGTTTTACCTTTTGAAAATCATCGCTCTCGGCTACTGTCCCATGAACAACCAACGAAATGTCAAATGTCGTGATCTGCAATTTCCAAATCATTGTCAAAAAACCTTTTCTTGAAAGCCATTTGGGTATGATTAAGTAAAGAGCAGAGAAGCTCACCGTATCTCTCGACACTTCCCATGGTGCACCAATTATCACCTCATCTACATAGCGGCATGCCAGAACACTTAAACTCCTTTCATGAAGATTCATGATTGGGCGATGCGCTCCTCTTTTAGCACTGCACAGAAACGTATAACAAGCACAATTTGGTCAGAATCTTAACTTCTCAACACAACCAAGAAATAAGGTAGATACCAGAATTGGAACAAGAACTACTTTATTTTTCCCTAAAACTAACATCACCAATCAAATTGATTAATCTCCATTTAACACTTGCCACGACATGAAAGAGAAAAGATAACAAAGTAAAAACAGAGACTGTCACGATAAAGACGACTGGCAAAATTGAGCTTTTTTTAACCTGACAGTCTGGTCATTATGTATTCCAACAAGAAGAAAGTCTCCAAGTTCTCGAGCACACCTTAGAATCTGCACGAATTGAGTAAATTAAGAACAATAATCAACATTGGCAGCGTAAAACTGGATGGTCGCTCAATAAAACTAAGGCAACTCTAGTTACTAGTCTAAAAGATATGTATCCACATGTAATTAAATATACAGGCATTTGTCGACAAAACTTAAATGAATAACATAAAGACTTGACAAATTTAATTTGTATGCATGCACCAAATTAACTCACTGTACCTCAACATGACCAGCATGGAAAAGATCAAAAGCACCATCTATGTAAATTATGCGTGCATCAGGTCCTGGCCCCTGTCACCATAATCATGTATTATTAATCAAACCCAGATACAAAATGAGAAGGAGAATGAAAAAGTGAAATTAAGACAGAACTTGAGGAAAAGTGAATCCATCAAAGAAAATAATATTAAGTTAATAAGAAAATGGGATGTGAAGCAACCTTCTGTGACTTAATAAGAAAAAATATAGATTAACACATAAAAAGTGCTCATAAAGGGTGAGCCAGTGATTTCAGGAGGTAACCAAAAGTGAATCAGACAGTGTTCCATAATGATGAGGAAAATAGTAAGCTCAAAGCCACTTGCATAGCTGTTAGAAAACAAGGGTCATGAACTTGCTCACCCTACAAGATCATCTAGCAACAGATAATACAGTTGTAGATATACAAACCTCCAAAGATCTAAGTAATAATTTGCCTGAGTAAGATAACTGGAAGCAACACAAGTATGCAATACATAAAACTTGAGGAAATGACACTTTTAAGACTTGCATTACCTTGCCATTAGAGAACTGAACAATCCTGCGGGAAGTAGGAAGAAAATGCGAGACGCGAGTACCAGCAGAAGAAGCTCCATCCTCAAACTTTGGACTATTATGCCCATGACTAAATTGCCTTTGCAGAGATGAATGACTATGACTATCACTAACGGATCTTTCTCTTACACAGAGAAGCATCCGACCTGCACACGAATTATCGAAAAAAATCTTACAAACATCATGTAGTTAGACATTTCAAGAACGAATTGGAAGAGACACTATTCAATTTACCAACGATATCGGTACTCGAAACTCCTTCTGTACGCTTAATCTGCTTGTAACGACCAGCTTTCTTCGCGTGAGCATAAGCATCAGTACCATCTGGAAGAACACAAGGATCATCCCCATGGATTATGTAATCGATCTGGTACTCATCGAACAACTTCTTCATGAAATCTTCCGTAATTGCGTAAGGAGCATCCGATATAACTTCATCAACCCATTTTACAGCTTTCACCATTATCATTCTGAGAT